GATAGAAAACGTGATCTCGTCACTATATGGCCGAAAAATTGTGACGTAAAACCCTACACTACTCTACTACTGTTATACAGGTATCATAAATCAATATAGTTTCAATCAGTTTTAAAACAAAATCATCCACAAATTTGAAACAATTATTTGGTTCTTACTAGTGGTAATATGAAAGAATTGCCCCATGGTTGAGAATACTTGAGAATGAAAATTTCTTCTAAAGTCTCACTTTGCATGTTACTCTGTTCTAGCAACTGCAGTATTTGAAGGAAGAAAATGGACCGGCATTTGCCCAGTTTGAGTGTCAGCCTTGCGTTGGGAAGCAGTTCTTAAATGTTAGGGCTGCTTTCCTGCAAAACCTCAAGAGCGAGCTTGAGTGCAGATTCCCAGTTGTGGCCACTGATGTTGTGACATGCATGTCAGTACTGTCACTTAGGGGACTTTCTTTCATGTCTGAAGGTAATATAACTGTAAAATGTTTTGTCAATTTGGGCAAGCCGGTGAAAACAGACAAAGCTTCATTAAACTGCAGTACAATTTCACAAATATACTAGCCACATAAAGAAACTGTGCACACAGAAAATGCCTTTAGAAATGGAATACAACACAGCAAAGACGAAATAATGTAGACACTTTATAAGCTGAAGTATCGGACCACAAGAAATTATCAAAAGAACATGAACAAATCCGTAACGATGACGTCAGAAGTTCAAAATCGAATTGGGGGTCACATGACGAAGTCACAAAATCAATAACGGGTATGACCACCATGTGCGTGAAGCACAGCAGTGCAACGACGACTCATAGAGGCTACCAAATGAGCATTGGAGGCCTGGGAAATGGTCTGGGACGTGGTCACTGCTGTCTGGAACCTGTATCGGAGATGAGTCACCCGAATCCACCTGTCCTGTCTTGGCGTCGTTACGTCGGGAACGCCCAGAACGTGGGTGGTCGGCGACGTCATTACTGTAACCTCACCCATGAAACCTGACGCCTGACCCATGCAGATATCGTGTTACGATGGCATTGGAAATGTGCTGCCACCTGTTGTTGGCTCATTCCTGCTCGAACCATTCCAATGGCTTCATGACGTTGAGCAGATGTGCATGTGACCTCCCATGTGGATTTGTGAACGTTTAAATGACCGAAGATCAAGCTTTCGACATTGACAGCAATTTCAGAGTTTCACATGTTGTGTGCAGCTGTACGGGCTGCACGTGCAGTAACACATTGCAAGGCCATACGCCACCGTCAATGACGTCACGTCGCCTGGCACGTGCATGAGCGTTTGATTGTCTCCAATACTTGCTATGTTCACAAATGTATTTATGTATAAATACGCTGTGTGCCTATATTTATATTTTCTGTGTGCACAGTTTCTTTATGTGGCCAGTATATATACATGAAAGACACCGTTTTACTTTAGAATAGATTAATTTTAAGCATATTAAATAATTTACAGTCTGCTTTTTTTAAGTATGATAAGTTTTTACATATTGTGATGATACAAACATCTGACAACTGATGTGTAACAAGTCTCAGTTGTTGTTGTTTTAAATATTCATTCGATGTTGCAGATGCACGAAAGCACTGGGAGACGGAACAACTTCAAAACATCATTGACTTCTACAGTCATGGTGAGAAGACCTTTGTAGATTCTGAGGAGACCTTGAGGGAATGGACAAGGATATGGTGCATTAGCAGTACTATCCTTGTACAAGTATCGACCCGCGAATATCTGGGTTAGAATTGATCATCAGTAACCCATGCTTGTCGTAAGAGGCTGACTTCGTTGACACATGTATTCGTATCCCAATTGCGTAGGTCGATGTTCCTGCTGTTGATCATCCACATCCAAACATTGACATATGTCATCGGTTCCCAGTTGCGCAGATCGATGCTCATGCTGTTGATCACTCGATTGTCTGGACCAGACTCGATTATTTACAGACCGCCGTCATATAGCTGGAATATTGCTGAGTGCGGCAAAAAACTAAAGTCACTCACTCACTCACATCACAGCAACTGTTAAGAGGGGCTTCAGTGTACAGAACCTGATAAGGAGGTCGCACAGAAACAGGCTGTCATCGGAGCGGCTTGACACTCTGATACAGCTGCTCTGGGGCCTCCTGTACAGGGCGGAGAGGGGACTAAAAGGGAAAGTTGTTTTGCTGAAATTAATTGCTTAATTGGTCATGAGAGCCTTACAGGAATGGCCTCTCGGAAAAGACAAAGACTTCTTCTTGGGTCGTGAGAGCGGGACGTGCCTTAATTTAATGTAAACCTTCCTCCGACTTTGCTTGTTTGTTGATTTTTTGCAGTTACAAACAGAATTAAGATTTTGCCACTGTGTTCTGTTGTTTATGTTATATTACAATGCAAGAAAATGTTCCTCTCCATTTCTTGGGACCCTAAGTTTGAAATGAAGGTTTCCATGTGACTCCAAGAGTATCTAAGCCATTGGTCGATAATTACACATATCGACTCGTATTTCATTTCAACCCGGACAACCTGCCGATAAATTCATACAAGTTCAACAATACGAGTTCACGGTTTAAGGATTTCAGCAGAATACTTTCCTCATGTTCATAGCTCTCAATTTCTTTGATAGGAACACTTCCCTGTACCACGATACGCTTCTTCTTACCTTTGTTCTCCAACGAGGATGAATTGGCAACAACACATCCTTATACCTAAATGTTGGTCAGCAGAAAATCCACTGGTATTTTGCATTTTATTTCGCATTCTTTCGCAATATATTTCTCATTGATCGTCCCTCAAAGGCTTCTAATTCCCTCTTCATACACAAATGAGTGAATGAGTTTAGTTTAACGCCGCACTCAACTATATTCCAGCTATATGGCTATATGTACAAATGACGCGTCGGGATACGTCACTCACTCACTCACTCACTAAATATGCTTTGAATGTTTTGGGACTTATATATCCCCTCAGAAGGAAAATGATTTTACAGTGCTTTAACCCCCTTTGAGAATACGGCCACTAACAATCTAAAAAATGACTAATATACCCATTTTTAAGTTTCATTGATGTATACTAGGCACTTAAAGAAACTGTGCATACACAAATTTAAAATCTAAACTGATCAAACCTGTGTAGACACATAAGGATTTAAACTCAGAGATTAGTGACATGTATCCAACATATGTGCACGTGCCACGTTCCGTGACGTCAGTGGGTTCGTCCTTGAGACGTGCAATACGTTGTTGCACGTGCATTCCGGGACAGAGAAACAGAGCAAATGAATGCCACACAATACTGTCACTTTGGAAAGCTCAACCTCTGCCCTTGCGATCGTTCAAAAAATTAAACGGCTATTGAAACGCATAGCATGCCAAGGCTCACGTCTGCACAACGTCATGAGGCCACTGGGATGGTCCGTGGGTGAAATGTCTCAACGACAAGTGGCTGCACATTTCCACTGCCACCGGAACACCATTTCTACACTGGTGAGACGCTACCAGAACACAAATGACGTCATCGATCGGCCACGTTCTGGACGTCCACGTGTAATAACGCCAAGACAGGACAGATGGATAAGGGTGACCCATCTTCGCCACAGGTTTCAGACTGCAGTGATGACTGCCCGAACCATCCCTGGACTTCGCCGTATCCACCCCAACACAGTTCGACAACGTTTACGTAATCACGGGATCTGACCACGACGTCCCGCCATACGGCCTATCCTGACACAACGTCATCGACAAGCTCGCCGAATGTGGTGCCGAAATCATGTCCGCATACCTTTGTTTTGGTGGAGAAATGTTGTTTTTACAGATGAGTCCAGGTTTAACATTTCCCATAGTGATGGACGTCAACGTGCCTATAGACGCGTGGGAGAACGTTATGCACAGGCCTGTGTCTTGGAGAGGAATCGCTTTGGTGGTGGTTCCGTGATGATTTGGGGTGGAATAACAGCCCGCCCTCATACGGCAAGGGTTGCTATGGATTTCTTGCAACACCACAACGTTGACTTACTGCCTTGGCCTGCAAATTCACCGGATCTCTCCCCGATAGAGCATGTTTGGGACGAGATGGATCGATGTCTACGCCGTCTTCCTCATCCGCCAGATAACGTCCTTGACCTTGCAACAGAACTTAAGAGAATCTGGCGTGACATCCCACAAGCCTTCCTTGCACGTTTGATAGGCTCTATGCGTCGTCGATGCACTGCTGTTCTCAATGCCGATGGTGGACATACCCGTTATTGAGCTTGTGACATGGTCGTATGACCCCTGTCCCGCTTGTGGACGTCATTGTGATTGACTTTTCAGTTGAAATTCTCCCGACTTGTTATGGTCTCATAATCCCTCCATTAAAGTTTATATGTACCTTTGACATTGTTATCGTACTTATCAACTGGGATAATATTTTGACAATGCACAGTTTCTTTATGTGGCTAGTATATATACAAAACAGATTATTCACAATTTTTCTAACAAATCTATTTCTTTTAAAAACACTAATTATTAAGGATAATTAATTCTATAAAAATATCTTTAATTGATTTGAAACTGAAATATTTATTCCTCGTGATCGAAAAATCAATACAATCAATACACCGTGATTCTTTCATCACAGGGGATAGAAAACGGGGGATCTTCACCCTTAAGTAAATGTTCTTTAGTGTAAAGAGAGAGTGAGAGAGCATGGTTTTACACTGCTTTTAGCAAGTTTCTAGCCAAAGCACAGCGAGGGAATCCAGAATGGGTTTCACACACTGTACCCATGCTGGGAATCGAACTCCTGTCTTCACCAGCGGACGCTTTAACCATCAGGCTATACCACCGTCCCTCAAAGGAGAGACGTCACTCTAATGTAAACGGCGTAATTGTTATTTAATACCGCGATGGAGGAATTACAATCACGGATACACAGCGATACACTCATAGCTCCACCCGGGTTGATCTATTTTTCACTTCCTTTTGTCAGCGTAAGCCTGAATACACGTGATGAGGAAATATTACGTACAACCATTAAGAGAAAACGTGTATGCCCGCTCTGAGCCCCGAGACAAAGGGTCAGTCATGGGAAGAGCAGCTCGTTACAGCTTGCTGTCGTTTCTACTTCTTACCTGTTTCTACAGCCATAACGGTATGTACATTGGTGCACCATATCGGGTTTCTTACTTGGTTCATATGGTTGAAATATTGCTGATGTGGTGTTAAATTTGAATTCACTCACACTTTTATTTGGTTGATGACTCAATAATACATGCTATGCTCCGCAAATTTTGTAAGTCGGCTAATATTTTAATTTCAGTTTTAAATTTCATTTGTTATTTGACTTGGGTATACAGCCATCTGGTAACATTAATTTAGAAGACTTGGAATGGCAGTTAGACGTAGTACACAAAACGGGCGAATTGATGGAATCGACTTTATCATGAGTATATGTGTGTTTGACACTGCATTCAGCAGTATCACGGCTGTCAGACGCGGTCTCTAAACAATTGAGCCTGGACCAGACAATCCAGTGATTGACACCATGAGATACGATGACAGAGCACTTGTTTATAAATTACTGTTAAAAAGGTGCTTGATGGGCATTTATAAGTTGGAAGGTAACGTAACAATATATAGTATGGATTTACAAATATATATAATAATTAATTAATTAATAAATAAGAATAAAGAAGTTGTAAATCCATACCATACAAGGTTATGTTATCAAATAGGTTTTCGCCGAAAGGTGAGCGTTTCTGCCCTATCGGTGGTAACCATCTTAAACATGTCAGCTGTTCACCTGAAAAAAGGGGCGGTGGGGTAGCCTAGTGGTTAAAGCGTTGGCTCGTCACGCCGAAGACCCGGGTTCGAATCCCCACATGGGTACAATGTGTGAAGCCCATTTCTGGTGTCCCCCGCCGTGATGTTGCTGGAATATTGCTCAAAGCGGCGTAAAACCAAACTCAGTCAGACAGTCAGTTCACCTGAAAAAAATCGGGAACGTATGGTTTAACTCAAAATAAGGAATGGAATGAACTGCATTTATTTTTGTCACTGATGCATCAAATTTTTTAATTCTCTCCGTTAGAAGTAATGGCGTCAGTTTGTTATCTGGGTTTTCGAGTGAAAACGGTTCCGACAACCACACATTGTTGTACCCATGAAGAGCCGAGCTGGCAATGATCTTCAGCAACGCATGCTTGGACGAAAGGGGCGACTAACGGGATCGGGTCATCAGGTTCGCTGACTTGGTGGACACATGTCATCGTATCCCAATTCCGTAGTTCGAATCTCATGATGTTGATCACTGGATTGTCTGGTCCAGACTCTATTTACAAACCACTGCCACAGACATCTAGCTGGTATATTGCTGAGTACGACGTTACACAACTATCATGTATTGTTGCTGGGCCAGAACTTCTATGTCTTCAGGGGCGGTGGGGTAGCCTAATGGTTAAAGCGTTGGCTCGTCACGCCGAAGACCCGGGTTCGATTCCCCACATGGGTACAATGTGTGAAGCCCATTTCTGGTGTCCCCCGCCGTGATGTTGCTGGAATATTGCTAAAAGCGGCGTAAAACCAAACTCAGTCAGTCTATGTCTTCGACTCGCTATGGCCCCCCGTTGGCATGGGATCTTTTGTTGGCGATTATGTTTATTTCGATCATTTTGTTTTGCAGCATATGAAATTCAGATTACAAAACTGACCAAAGAGAGCCGTTGCTGGAGAACCTTTCACCTACAATGTGGTGATGTGGCATACTGGTCCGTTCTCTGAAACGCTGAACGTTGTGAATTCTAGCAGTACAGATCCATCTAGCAAGACGTTGTGCTCGATCCCATTCACACACCCTTCAAGGCTAACTTGCCAAAGCTATCCTGGATTTAAGTGCGTATGTTTGTACACTGCAAATCAGTTCAGACTCGAAATCAATGTGTCAAAAGTAGCGGTTAATATGTACAATCGACGGACGTGGAATTTCAACTTCATCAAGAAGGGTTACAATGAAAATATGGACATTGGCGTTATCTGTAAGTATGTTATATTGACTTTGGTTCATGTTACTGAGACCTGTAAAGATCAGGGCCTAGATTTTCGAAGCTCTCTTAGCGCTAAGATAGTCGTAAGTTAATGTTAATGTATGGCACTTACGACTATCTTAGCGCTAAGAGAGCTTCGAAAATCTAGGCCCAGGGTTATACTTGGTCTTCAACAACCCTTGTTTGTCGTAAGAGGCGACTAGCGGGATCGGTTGGTCTGGCTCTTTGAGTTGGTTCATGCATGTAACAGAAAACAAATAACGTAGATCGATGTTCATGCTGTTGATTACTGCATTGTCTGGTCTACTGTTGAGTGCGACGTTAAACAAAAACAAACATTTTGTAACTGCAGGGTGGTGACGAGGGCCTGGTCTCCGGGGTCGATTAAACATATTCTGAATCGTCTGAAAAGTGACACAAATAGGCTGATAGGCAATTGTTTCCTGAACAAATGACGCTGCCAGGATGTAACCGAAAGCTTCCTCGTCCAAGAGAATCACCAACGGCCACCGCCTAACAACCGAACACTGAGACTATAGAGTCGTTTGCAAATCTTGGAAATGTTATTCTTATTACACTATATTCAGTTGTTGGCAATCTATAGCCCGTTTTCATATCGTATTGTTCCCTGTAAAAATATCGTTTTATGATAACATGCTAGTTTTGCTTTAATATCTGTAATATACTGGTAGTTTTACTGTTCTTCGTCAACAGGCTTTTAATTTCTAATTTAATTGTTCTGTATACAATAATTAATTGTTCTCGTCACGATATGGCTGAAATATTGCCAATGTGACTATAAATATTAACTCACTCACTCACTGTTACATGACACTCATGTATTGAAATGTATCTTGTTTAAATCTTCTTTCAGTTGATACTGCATTCATACATATTTAACGTTTCAACAATACAAATATTTATACTCACGTTCATATTAATACGTTGGAATGGATAGATCTATATAATGATCAGCAAAGGCGTTTTAGTTTGTCAGCTGATATTCTTTGTATTCCTTTTAGGATTGGCCTTCACGGTGTGTGCGTGCGTGCGTGCGTGCGTGTGTGTGTGTGGGGGGGGGGGGGGTTGTGTGTTTGTAGTCTAGTGGTTAAAGCGTTGGCTCGTCACGCCGAAGCCCCGGGTTCAATATGTCGCGTAAAGATGACAGATTGCTGTTGCAGAGTAATGAAATATTTGATTACTCATTCTTTTTGTCTTTGTTCTCTACCTGTCATTCATTCTCCAAAGCTTTTGAGGATGTTAGTTCAACTATATTTCACTTACTCCTTCAGATCCCTTTGAACTCAGCCTCAGGTTCAAGAAAACAATAAGGGAATCGGCCCCTGCTGTGATATCGTGTCTTGCCGCGTCCAAGTCAACGCCCACCAACCTGACCATCTACTGGATGCGGCAGTATTGGGGGGATCAGTTCATTCAGGAGCGAGGGGTGAAGAGTAACTGGAAACTAGATCTCCGTCTAGACAGAGCCAGCTACGAGGATGCCGGGAGATATGAGTGCGCCGCCAGCTCGGGGGAGGAGGCGTCAGACGGAAGTGTCAACCATACTGTCACCGAGGAGGTGATCGTTCAAGGTACTCCTATACTACTCAAAAGAGGTCAAGGGTATATTTCAGCATGACATTTAATTATGCATAGCAAACATATAAAACAGAATTTCCAAGCATAAATATGGTTAGAACTGGAATATTCCGTCCTTAAGCTGAGCACTGTGTGCACATCATATACTCTTTGCAAACTCAGTGATCGTAAGATTCCTTTGAAAAAAATTCATCAGTTCCAGAAACAATGGGTGAAACCACCACGTGATCCTAAGTATGCAGCACAAGGTTGTGGCATACTGTCAATTAGACCGCGAAAACCATCTGTGGGATAGCCTGCCACTCTGCCTGAAGAAACTGGAACTATTCTTGAAGATTACCAGGATGATGATGATGATTGTCTCTCACCCTCCTTCCCAACTCGTCCCAAGTATGCTCAATCGGTGCCATTTCAGGCGAGTATGCAGGCCATTTTGCCATTTTGTCCCGATGTGGCCTAGCATTTTCATCCTGAAGAAGAGAACCAGCTCCAATTTGGCGAAGAGTAGGAACAACAAACGGACGCGAAATTTCGTACCTTTATCTGATACCTGTCAAATTTCCCTGGATATGGAGCACAGAAATCCCAACCCACACCATCCCCGAAATACCGCCCAAACGGTGACGCTGTCTGACGTTGACGTCAGCAAATAGTTCACCTGGCCGGTCGGTCGATCTCTGCCGTCGTTGAACTGTTAAGAGTACACGCCCCCACTGGCGTCATCTCGAGTCTCTGTGACGTGTGCACCAGTCGCGGCGATCGAAAGTTGTTGGCTCGAAAACGATTCCTTATGGTCTGGTCCGACACCTGGCCCCGGGGTCATGAAAGTGACTTAAGTCTAAAAATTGCTTAAGTCTGTCATTTTGATCTTTAGTCAAAAACATTGTCTTAAATCGGGGATCACGTACATTTTTTAGTCTTAAAAGTTAAGACTGAGATCATCTACCTACAAGTCTTAAGCCCTTTTTGATGCCGAGTGTTTTTTCAGGCGCACATTTTTATAAGGTTTGAAAAGTGAAAGTTGTGCGAGATTTGCGCTCGCGTGGTCCTGGAACTGCGTACGGCTATAAAATTAAACAGAAATGTGGAATATTAAATTTAATATCCGTTGGTATAAATATAAATGAAAAACCTCGGCGGTTTGAGAAATAAACACTGCTAAATGATGTCCAAAATTTCGCAGATCATCTCTCTGATGTCAAGCTGAGACGGTGCGCTGACGTAAGCATACCTGCATCAAGCTGACGCAGCGCTGACGGCATACCGGGTCATCAAGCTGTGGACGGTGGCATACAGCATAGCTCATCAAGCTGTGACGGTGCGCTGACGTAAGGCCAAGCCGGTGCGCTGACATAAGGCCAACTGTACGGCATACCGGCATCAACCGGTCTGATCAAGCTACGGCATACCGGACGGTGCGCTGACGCAAGGCCACCTGTACGGCATACCGGTCATCAAGCTGTGACGGTGCGCTGACGTAAGGCCAACTGTACGGCATACCGGTCATCAAGCTGTGACGGTGCGCTGACGTAAGGCCAACTGTACGGCATACCGGTCATCAAGCTGTGACGGTGCGCTGACGTAAGGCCACCTGTACGGCATACCGGTCATCAAGCTGTGACGGTGCGCTGACGTAAGGCCACCTGTACGGCATACCGGTCATCAAGCTGTGACGGTGCGCTGACGTAAGGCCACCTGTACGGCATACCGGTCATGAAGCTGTGACGGTGCGCTGACGTAAGGCCAACTGTACGGCATACCGGTCATCAAGCTGTGACGGTGCGCTGTCACGGCATACCGGTCAAAGGCCACTGGCGTAAAAGGCGCACCGGCATACCTGTACGGCATGTGACGGTGCGCTGACGTAAGGCCACCTGTACGGCATACCGGTCATCAAAGTCGAAGCTGACGCTGACGTAAAGGCCACCTGTACGGCATACCGGTCATCGCTGTGACGGTGCGCTGACGTAAGGCCAACCACGGCATGTCAACGGTGCGCATACTGTACGGTAAAGCTGTGACGGTGCGCTGACGTAAGGCCACCTGTACGGCATACCGGTCATCAAGCTGTAAGGCATACCCGGTCACCTGTTACATCATCAACTTGGCCTCAGAGCTGGGACGATATTGAATTGAATTGGTTGCATGGAACCGCTGCCATAGTTGAGTTGAGTTGGGTTTTACGTCACATCGGCATTATTCCAGCCATATAGTGACGGGGTCAAGTGTGAATTTATAAACGTTTTAAGTTATATTCAACCAATCACACTTTGGCTACAACCACTCCTCCGAGCCACATGTCTTTGTGTCAAACAATCCTGGAGCCACGCAATGGCTCTTCCCCTATCAAGATTGCATTGTTGATGTCGGACCATGATGAAAATTCAATTGAGAACAACATGATCGCGGTTTGATTATTAAGTTTTGCATAAAACGCAGACTGGATGTGCAATAACAAAACGAGCTTGCAAAGTTCAGGGAACGTTGTGTTCGTGCAATGGAAACAGTTTTGTTGACCCTTTCTTTGAGATCAGATTGGTCAATTTTCAACAGCTTTGCACACAGTGCTCAGCTTTAGGACAGTTGGGTCTCGAGAAAAAACAGAAGAATGTTTGTGTCTTGTGAAAAACAGTGAAGCGTTAAATACTGTTGGGTCTTGTGAATTGGTGGACGATAATACCGGTTAACCGGTATATTGCAATATTGCAATTCGAACTTCACAATACGATATATTGCGGTACACTTTTCGCGAACCGGTTCACCCGATACGATCGGCAATTTCCCTGACCACGATCGGAAATTTTCGTGATGTAGTCAAAACTACTAATAACATTTGTATTTCCGGTCAAATAATTGCATTTGCGTGACTTTTGAACCATATAAATAAATAAAAATAGATTGGTACCGGCACTCGTTGGAGGGATAAACAAACCAAAATGGCGGACGCCGCTGCAGACACTTTTTCCCGACTTCTTAACTTTAGAGCGAAGTCTTCAATTTGCAGACATTTTCTTGTACAATCTCATTTGAGTCTTGACAGTGGCCAGATGCATTGTTTCCATAGTTTGACCTTGATCATTGCTCATATTAATTAATAACTCATAACTGTTGTTCCCAGAAATGAGATGTTACATACATACACACTGATGGGCATGATCCTAACCAAATTACTCACTGAGTGTATAAGGAGTGTTGGCATGATTGACCAATATGTGTTCAGCATCATGATCAAATCTTATACTGGACAAAATGTGTCATAAAACCCAATTAATTGCCCTAATTTGCTGACAAGCAACGGTATATGGTTTCCCACAAAAGTAATATAATAGCATAAGCTCCATAGACTCTGAGTTATAATGTATTCTCTCTTTAACAAAAGAAATATTGCAACAATGTCATGTTTAATGCATCATGTACCTCTTCTTCCTGTTCTGGTGACCTCCTCCTTTTGGCTCTCGACTTCCTAGGCATTATGATGCTGTCTGACTCCGAACTTGAATCTGAAACAAGTTGCGATATTTTTGCAGTCCTCCACTTGCATTGAAGACAACTTCTTAACGATGAATAAAAAAAATTAAAAATGCTTACGTTAGTAGTTTCAATCATACCTGACATATTGATTTCATGAAACCTATAGACTAGTAGGCAGCTTGGTCACTGCATGCATACAGTGTACATCTGAAATATTAAATTGAACACATTGACACATCAATGTTAAAACCAAATAGCAAGATGATACATATTTCAATAGATGAATTGAATGACTTAGATGTTTATTTAAAGACATTTATCATTTGCTAACAGGCTGGGAAAAGGTTGGTATTTACTAATTCAGATTACTCACTCAAGTTTGTACTCAGAAGACACCAGGTAAGGTACATGTAACAGTGGGCCTAGGTAGGATGTGCACAGGTGGAAGCTGAAAAAAAAGGTATAAATTAAATACTTGACTAATTTGTATGTGTGGTTCAATTCAAACAACAACAATAAAGACATGGCATTATATTTGTTAATTCAGATTACTCACTCATGATATACTCAGAAGACACCAGGAAAGGTACATGTAACAGCAGGGGGGCATAGGTTTCCTGGAGGTGGAAGCTGAAAAGAAAAGGTTATAAATTAAATACTTGACTAATTTGTATGTGATTCAATTAAATAAGGTTGTTTTGAAGATTTCATGAAGCGATGCACTATTGATTATATTCATAAGAATGATGTTTTGACAATTTCACAATACCTTTATGTATCACAAAATCATGAAGATATATATTATTTATTACCTCATTTTATAATATCCAATTTCACACTGTTGTTGCTAAATACTCTGATGCCAGTGATGGTCAATCAATCCAATATCTATTTTAAGAAGTATGTAAAATTGGTTAATAATTATAATTCATTTTGCAACATTTATAATAATTATCTCAAAGTGTGAATATTGCTAACTTCCGAAGATGCAATGGTAATATTATATAAATAAAAGGCTCAAAGAAAGAATTGAAAATAACACTTGAGACTCAAAAATTGGCATCCATTGAAAACTCCATTTTTGTTTTGTTCACTCCTTTTTAGGAAAAATAGAAATCATGAAAAACAGTGAACATACCTCTTACAACGTAGTGGCAACACTTCTATAAGATGCAAGGATGTCATAAAAACAAAATATTGCAATGATATTTAACCTCAAAGTCTCCCTTTTACTCATTTTCTTCAAAACTTGACAAGAAAACATCACAAGTTGAAACCAGGAAGTCATTCGCGGGAACCATGGGCAAGGGAGGTAACTCTAATTTTTTTACATTTACGAACTTTTCAAGCCAATTTTAAAATACTTTGCTGGGGTAATAAAAATTTGAAAAAATGTTTTCTAGACATAAACAAATATGAAGTTTGCGAATAATTAATAAAATCAGTGAAATTTCCACTGGAAAGTGTTTTTTCAAACATGGTCATTTTCACTCACCTCGTTTTGCAGCCGAAATCTGCTTCTAAAAATATTTTATGTAATATTCGTCATCACTGATGCCTTCAGTTCATGAATATGCAAAAATATTCGCGGAAAACGTCACAGAAATAAGCGTAAAACAGGCTCGAAGAGGACCGGTGTTAGTTGTCCAACTTTGCGTCGCTTCTAAAAATAGCGACAGCTACGCCGCCTGGCGAGTGTTGCGGTCGCTATTCCATGACCTTAAACCACGGGTTACAATTTCACAATACATATTGCAATACGCCAACACATGTCACAATATATGGCAGTACGAAACTTTGGGCAATACCCAACCCTAGTCTTGTGGTGATATAGCTGTACCCTCACAGGGGGTTAAAGTACTGTAAAATTATTGTCACAATATATGGCAGTACGTCTTGTGGTGATATAGCTGTACCCTCACAGGGGGTTAAAGTACTGTAAAATTATTGTCACAATATATGGCAGTACGTCTTGTCGTGATATAGCTGTACCCTCACAGGGGGTTAAAGTACTGTAAAATTATTGTCACAATATATGGCAGTACGTCTTGTCGTGATATAGCTGTACCCTCACAGGGGGTTAAAGTACTGTAAAATTATTGTCACAATATATGGCAGTACGTCTTGTGGTGATATAGCTGTACCCTCACAGGGGGTTAAAGTACTGTAAAATTATTGTCACAATATATGGCAGTACGTCTTGTGGTGATATAGCTGTACCCTCACAGGGGGTTAAAGTACTGTAAAATTATTGTCACAATATATGGCAGTACGTCTTGTGGTGATATAGCTGTACCCTCACAGGGGGTTAAAGTACTGTAAAATTATTGTCACAATATATGGCAGTACGAAACTTTGGGCAATACCCAACCCTAGTCTTGTGGTGATATAGCTGTACCCTCACAGGGGGTTAAAGTACTGTAAAATTATTGTCACAATATATGGCAGTACGAAACTTTGGGCAATACCCAACCCTAGTCTTGTGGTGATATAGCTGTACCCTCACAGGGGGTTAAAGTACTGTAAAATTATTGTCACAATATATCGCAGTACGAAACTTTTGGCAATACCCAACCCTAGTCTTGTGGTGATATAGCTGTACCCTCACAGGGGGTTAAAGTACTGTAAAATTATTGTCACAATATATGGCAGTACGAAACTTTTGGCAATACCCAACCCTAGTCTTGTGGTGATATAGCTGTACCCTCACAGGGGGTTAAAGTACTGTAAAATTATTGTCACAATATATGGCAGTACGAAACTGATCTACACACTTTTTTAATCGTAGAATATTTGTTGTTTTATTATGGCTAACTATCAGTACAATCGCCAATGGCTGAAGGGATGGTATAAATCCAGCTAGGGTCAATGCAGGTAGCCAAAGTACTGCAAGTCCCCATGGTCCCTAGAGTGGTGGTCTACCTTCAGTTGTTGGCGATCCTCAGCCTTTTTATATTGTATTGTCCTAATCTGAAATCCTATTTTAGAGATATATGCTAGTTTTATTTCTTGATATTGTGATATTCTAGTCGGTTTTACTGTCCTTCGATGACAGGTTTTTATAATTTACCATAAATTACTATGCATAACAATTAAATGTTCTCGTCACGATATGGCTGAAATATTGCCGATGTGACGATAAATTATAACTCACTCACTTACATTGATTTGTCCCAAAATAGTTTTCTACTTTTAAAGATATATATGCTAGTTTTAACTCATTTTGCGATAATCTGGTAATTTTACTGTCTTTCGTTGACAGGGTTTTATATATTAGAGGGGCGGTGGGGTAGCCTAGTGGTTAAAGCGTTGGCTCGTCACGCCGAAGACCCGGTTTCGAATCCCCACATGGGTACAATGTGTGAAGCCCATTTCTGGTGTCCCCCGCCGTGCTGTTGCTGGAATATTGCTAAAAGCGGCGTAAAACCAAAGTCAGTCAGTTTATATATTAGATGTATGTATATTAAATTTAGAATTAGTTTCAGTCACGATATGGCTGAAATATTGCCGTTGTGACTTTAAATCTTAACTCAGTCACACACTATTATTTATTTTGAGAACAATCGCCGTGCTTGGGACGGAAGACGCAACCTTACTAGAGTTCGTACTTAACTGAGAAACAGTTATCTAAAATCTATTACTTCTTACCTTTCATACCCGTGAAGATCCGGGTTAGAATATTGACCTTCAGTAGCCCATGCTTGTCGTAAGAGGCCACTAACGGAATCGGGTGGTAAGGCTTGCTGACTTTGTTGACACATGTCATCGGTTTCCCAATTGCGCAGATCGATGCTCATGCTGTTGATCACTGGATTGTCTGATCCAGACTCGATTATTTACAGACCGCCGCCATATACCTGGAATATTGCTGAGTTCGGCGTAAAACTAAACTCGCTCACTCACTCACTGTTTCAGCTGCGCCCCGGGCTGACTACGCCCGCAACACTGTATTTGCTCTGCAAGGAGAAAGTGTTGTCCTCACTGCCAAGTTCCTCAACACTTCTGACGTCATGGTGCACTGGTCACGTGACGGACGAACCCTCCAAGGGCAACAACCTGGCTTGGAAACTGAAGAGAGGGTGTACCGCGTGTACGGCAAGAATGTGACGTCACGGGGTATTCGGACACGGCTTCACGTGAAGGCTGATGACGATACGCTCGGTCCGTATGACGTCACGGCATGCTCACGAGGTGGCTGCGCAGCTACAACCATTATCCTTACGGAGAAACCACGAATTGGTGATTATCAAAATGTCAAATCAGTCCTAGCTCTAACCCATGTTTTAGAAGGAGAATGACTTGTGATTTAGAGTATTTAATACACTGTTTATTATTTAGTTAATGTCATTTTACACATAGGGTGCTCTTATGTACTAAAACACGTATTTACAGGCTAAAACACTCCTTGCATCATGGTGATCCTAAAGAAAACAAGAGTCATCAGAAGATGACATATCCCCCCGGCCCCCACAAATTTGAAAGAACAAATCATCTGACAGTTACTTAAAGTCCAACTTGATTTTTTTTAGACTAGCTCCAATCGTTTCCATGGAAATCATAAAAAATATAAATGCCAAAATCTGTAAATAGCAAAAGGCACCACTTCAAGATCTGTCTCATATATCTGTCAAAGTCTTTAAGGAAGATATTGAATCGAAACGAAGCCCATCCCTCCCTTTTCCGAATAGTTTCCATGGAAACCGAGAAAAATAAAAATGTCCAAATCCGCAAATAGCAAAAGGCACCACTTTGGGGTCGGTTTCATATTTCTGCTAAGTTCTGTTGAAAGATATTAAAAGGTTTTCGAGTTGTGCTCCGGAAACGAAGCCCACCCTTCCTTTCGAGACTAAGTCCAAATTGTTTCGATGGAAATCAAGACAAAAAAATGACAAAAATCTGTAAATAGCAAAAGGCATCACTTCAGGTTCTGTTTGATATATAATTATATATACCATTTTATGTTAAAAAAATACTGAATGTTTTTTATCCCCCCGGCATGTAATGCGGAGGGATATAGTCGACGCCTCGTCCGTCTGTCCGTCCGTAATCATTTTGTTTCCGAAGCATAACTCAAAAACCGTTACTAGCTTTTTCAACAAAAATTGGTCGATATCTCAAACAGAACCTAAGGTGGTGCCTTTTGCTATTTACAGATTCGAAAACTTCTTAATAACTTTCATCAAAACTTGGCACATATGTGAGGCAGATCCCCAAGTGGCGCTTTTGCTATTTGCAGATTTTGGGCATTTTTATTTTTCCCGGTTTCCATGGAAACGATTCGGACTTAGTCTCAAAAGGGAGAGGTGGGCTTCGTGTCTGGAGCACAACTCGAAAACTGTTCAATATCTTTCAACAGAACATGGCAGATATATGAGACAGATCTCGAAGTGGTGCCTTTTGTTATTTACAGATTTCTGTCATTAATAGTTTTCTCAGTTTCCATGAAAACGATTTGGACTTAGTCTAAAATAAATCAAGCTGGACTTTAAGTAACTGTCAGATGATTTGTTCTTTCAAAAATGTGGGGGTCGGGGGGATGTGTCATCTTCTGATAACTCTTGTTTAGTTATGTTCCGGGGGGATGAAAATAACAAATTGTATCAATACATAGTTATATTTTACCCTTAAACTCCACCCACGGAGCATGCTCGCCCACGCACTCACACGCACACGCACACTAAATACCCATCGAACAAAATGTCTCTTATAGTGATTACTCAATATCTTGAACCATGAATAAGTGAAGTGACCATGACAATTACATATGTTTACTTCACAAATATGCCTGGTGCACAACTATCCGAAATCTATAACAGTAACGTTTTACCAATACAGAACCGCCATCTGCCCCCGTCAACTTCCGCATTGCCGCTCCCCTCCCTACTGGAGCATTATTAAGTTGGGAGTCGGGACTCAATGAGAGCCAGGACCAATGGCAAAAGTTTATGTTCTTCGTGACCTTCAGAAGGTCTGGTTTGTCATCAGAGGAGAACTGGAACTTCCGGCCCGTGAAAAGTGTTTGTCCTCGACTACCGGTATACTATCTGCTCACGGACCTGCGCACTGATACAGGATATGACGTCAGAGTTCAAAGTGTTGCTACGGCTGATGGAAAGGTCAACAACAGCCCTTTCACAGAGGAACTTCATATACAGTTCCAAGGTAATATATCCCCCAAACATGTCGATTTCCGTATTCTTTTACTAGACCATAACGCACTATCAAGCTTGGTATGGAACATCCAAGATTAAAATATCTGACAAATGTTTGATCTTCTTTAATGGAATTAGTTTTACGCCGCTTTTAGCAATATTCCAACAGTATCACGACAAGGGACACCAGAAATGGGCTTTATACATTGTACTCATGTGGGGAATCTGTACTGGTGACGATCGAACGCTTTTACCACAAGGCTACCCAACCGACACTCTTAAACAGATGATACCGCCTCCGTGGTGTAGTTGTTAGAGTGTCCGCCCGGAGAGCGGAAGCTCGCGGGTTCGATCCCCGACCGCGTCAAACTAAAAGACGTTAAAATATGGTACTTGTTGGTCCCTGCCTGGCGCTCGGCATTAATGGGTACAACAAGGACTGGTCGGCTTGGAGTCAGTATAATGTGTCTGAGTGGGATATTCATGCTTCACTGCGGCATAGTATCTCAGTGGGCTAGCACTATAAAACCAGCTTCAGTCTGGGCTAGTACAAGCAGCCGCACACACACATACACCCGCATGCACGTCGTCATATGAGCGAAATATTCTCAAGCACGATGTAAAACCCAGTTTCACCTCACCTCACCTATTAAACATGCAATATTGATGCACATGTTATATTAGGGATTGTACTTTCTAAATGGCATTTAGGCAATATTAACGAACAGCTCACCTAGTTTTTAGCTCAGAATATAATGTTTGTTAATTGTTTAACGCCACACTCAGTAATAACCCACCTGTATGAGTCGGTTTGTAAAAATTAGACTCTGGACCAGACAATCCAGTGATTCACAACATGATCATCGATCTGCGAGATTGTGATAACATGGCATCCATGTAGACAAGCTTCATCTCCCAATATCGTTGTCGCCTCCTCTGCCGTAGACCAATTCTAACCCGATCCTTCACGAGTTAATATTGTTTCAGAATCCAAAGAGCATTTAAAGGGTGTTGGGATCGGGCTGGCAGTGGGCGTGGGCGTGTCCATGATCGGGATGCTGATAGTCATTGGATTGAAGAGAGCACGAAGTAAGTTTTTTCATTGTTAGCATGCTAATATTAAGAGATGAACAGCATGTGCTTTCAAGTCAACATTATATGTTGACTTGAAATTCAAATTGGCAAAGATTTCTTTATCTTTATTCACATTACTCCCTCCACGAATGTCATCTACCCGTGAAGATACCGGCTAGAATTGGTCTTCACCAACCCAATTTTGTCATAAGAGGCGACTAACGGGATCGGGTGGTCAGGCTCGCTGACTTGGTTGACACACATCATCGTATCCCAATTGCGCAGATTGATGCTCATGCTGTTGATCACTGGATTGTCTGGTCCGGACTCGATTATTTACAGACCGCCGCCATATGGCTAGAGTATTGCTGAGTGCGGCGTTAAACTACTCACCAAAGAACATATGTCATCACAGAATGTATAATCCTTTGGATACAGGTTTCGTCACAATTTTTCCTTTCCACGCCCTGTGGGATCCTTTTTCGGCAGATAATTTAGATTAAAATTAACTATTCTTGGGATTTTACATTAATGAAAGACGTCATTGTAAGTTTCCTAATATGGATGTACTGTTTTTATTTTTAAGATAGCATATTTTCTGAAGTACGGCCATTCGCTCTTACCATTTGACGTGAAATGCTTGTCATTTCGAGTTCACATTTAATAACGATATATCGGATATTCGGATTACCTTTTGTAATCACTGTAAGAAGTTGTTCAAAAGTTATTGAAACAAATGGACCGGACCGTGCCCCTGGTCGAACCACCCGTGAATATTCGGGTTAGAATTGGTCTTCAGCAACCCATGATTGATAGGGTGGTCAGACTCGCTGACTAGGTTGACACGTCATGCGTAGATCGTTGCTCATGCTGTTGATCACTCGATTGTCTTGGAATATTTTGTTGAGAGTGGCGTTAAACAACAAACAAACAAACCTAGTCAAACTAATAATGGCGTCATTTCATCCATCCCTACAGGAAGCCAGAGGTCTGTTAAAGGAACCGAACAGAAAAGGTGAGATTGTCATTCAGTGTGATTAAAAAGTTTATTTTGCCTAAATTAAACAATAGTTTAAATGGATTAAACCAGGTACTTTTAGGGGCACACAGTTTGTTCACTGAGAAAGTGTAATCGCCAGTCTAACGTATGTTGCAATTTGACCACTTTCAAAAATACATAGTGTATTCATAGTATAGGCAAAGGGACACTTGTCAGAGAGGTACACAAAGTACGTAATCTAACTACCAGTTGTCGTACTAACATGTTTTCTGGAAGCCTCATCGATCAGTGGCTGAGTGGGTTAGATCCATTACTTAGTGTCTGGTGATTAGGTGCCCTACTTAGAGTGGGTTTGAATTCAGGATGGGATTCAACCCAGATATTACTAGAATTTATGCTTTGCTGATGAAGTGCAATCTCAAATATACATTTGCTACCATTTGTTCACATTATATTTTCACCACTAATTTGCCTTTTACTGTTCGGGTGAAAATCGATACAACTTTTTATCTGGCGTTGGTGTCAATGTGTGCAGACCAGATTGGCCGAAGCATACGGGAAATGATTTTAAGGTTGGGTATATGTGGGAAATCATTGGGTTAATTCTGACTAGTGTACAACAGTGTTTTGATGTTTTGTTGTACGGCAATAGTAAATATTCCATGTACAAAGGTCCTGCGCCATTTAATAGCTAACCGGGAATGAGTGAGTTAACGTTTACTGTCGCATCAACGTTATTTCAGCCATATAGCGACCAGACCAAGTCACTCGTATACACAAGTTCGTAATAGACCCAAAGTCATACTGGTAAGGAGTTTTATATTAAATTCATGATAGTTTAGCAGTTCAATAATACCGTATTGTGTCACATTTCCTTCAGTGATTTACGCAAGGGTGGCGATTCTGCAGTCGATGACAATAAAGATCCAACAAACCATTCTGGGAACAAGAAAGATCCTGCTCACCATTATGGGAAACGGCCTACCGCTAAGAAGGGTACTGTTTCATCTGTTGTCGAAAATATGTTGGAACATGTCCTTCGGAAGGTTTTATATGTAGTTCACTTGAATGATCAAGTGGTACCTGTCGTGTGCGTTTCTTAAATAGTTCACTAGAATGATCAAGTCATACATGTTGTTTGTTCCAGGACGCATTCCAAAGGGGGTCCCTCCCCCGCCCCCAGGAAGAGGAACCACGCCCAACAATACCTATGATGCACTGACGGACACCCAACAAGAAGAGTATAAAGGCCTCGAGATATACCAGAATAGTTAAACACAGAAATGTTGATTGCTGTTCATATGCCACAGTGAGATTTCGCTGTATTACTTCACTGACACTAAGGGCGGTGGGGTAGCCTTGTGGTTAAAGCGTTCGTTCGTCACGCCGAAGACCCGGGTTTGATTCCCCACATGGGTACAGTGTGTGAAGCCCATTTCTGGTTTCCCTCGCTGTGCTTTGGCTAGAAAATTACTGAAAGCGGCGTAAAACCCAACTCATTCTCTTGTAAAGCACTCTCTTTATTGAATACTGACACCAGCTGTTTTAAGATCGCACATTCATGTGTAACTTAAATGTAATTGACAATAAATATCTCTTCCTACTTTTCTGTCCAGCCAACATTGCATTAAGACTTAAATATCTATTGTTTGAAATTCTATTTTTTTCCCAATATACTAAAATATATGTCTTTGTTATCATCCCAAAATGTAGATATTTCCTTGAATACTGCCAAATGTTTGTTCTATGCATTCGAAAAAAGGAAATTAAATTTGAGTATATAGATCATTATATATTATATCATTATATGTCATGTCTGCACAGATTAGGTGTTTTTGTACTCAAAAACCCATGTCCTCACAGTATTGGAAATAAAGATTTTAAGATCGCACATTCAAATTCTCTCCATTTCTGTTGACACTGTGGTACATTCTAGGAAAAACTGTTTTTGCATAGCGCATTCTGTTCCCACATGGGTACAATGTGTGAAGTCCATTTCTGGTGTTCCCCTTGATATTGCTGGAATATTGCTAAAAGCGGCGTAAAACCCATCTCACTCACTCACTCACTGTGTGAGTTACAATACATTCGACAAAACCATGATGAAAAATGAAAACGCTGTTAAACGCAGAGCCAGTTTTACGGTTCAGATTACGGTACAGGCATGTGAATCACCACCACATGGTGAAGACATTAGGTGTTCACGAAAAGGTAAGCGGATATACTGTCCCAACATTTCTAAGATGCCTGGCGGTTAGAACAATCGGAAAAAATACGTTATCAGACAATAAAGGTATAGTTTTTTGATGACGTAACAATTGAATGACGTTATCCTGTCACTGCGCCATTTAGTCTGCCCCCTCGTAATCGAACCATTTCACATTACGTCACAGTGGAAGCGACGTCACGATGCATGTCATTGTCATCGCCTCGTACGGCCTCCTACAGTAAACTACTCCGTTGCATCACGTTTCTTGGTTTGCAGTTGCTTCACGCAGCTAACATCACTGGTGGAAACATTACGTTTATGTTTTACGACGGTTAAAATGTCTCAATTCGACTCACAAGTTTTCAGCGACACGGTAACGTTCCCAATGTTTACATTCCCACAATGCAATCGCTTGACTACTCAGCTTCATCTGGATGTACTGATCTAAACTTACGTTGGTAGTAGAAATGCTACGTTCATATTGCCCCAAATGGTTTTAATCCGAACGTAAACCGTCATCAAACTGTTATCATTTGGGTTTTTTTCTGGTAACGTTCGTCTTAACGTAGGGGGGCAGACACATCAATAGAACAGCGCGCCAGTTAGCCCTGTGCGAGGATTCTTAATTTAGGTCACCGACACCTTCGTTTGTTTTCTGCCTTAAATTAATCGTAATTATCCTTAGAAAGTATTAAATTTGGCATCTTAGAAAAGATATACAGTTCGCTTTACCACCATGTATAGTGTAATAAAGCACACTTTCGCCCTGAACTATTATAACGTTAAAGCACTTTAACTATAATAGTTCAGTGCGAAAGTGTGTTTTATTACACATGGTGGTAGAGCGAACTGTATTTCTTAATTACAAGCCAAGTCAATTGATAAACTGAGAAAAACACAGCATATTACAGTCAGAAAAGGGTATTGCACAAATATCAGTTCTTCTAAGATGCCTAGCGGTTAGAACAATCGAAAAAAAAATACATTATCAGACAATAAAGGTATAGTTTTTTGATGACGTAACAATTGAATGACGTTATCCCATCACTGCGCCATTCTAGTGTGCCCCCTCGTAATCGAACCATTTTACATTACGTCACAATGTCAGCGACGTCACGATGCATGTCAGTTGTCATCGCCTCGTACGGCCTCCTACAGTAAACTACACCGTTGCATCCCGTTTCTTGGTTTGCTGTTGCTTCACGCAGCTAACATCACTCGTGGAAACATTACGTTTATGTTTTACGACGGTTAAAATGTGTCATTTCGACTCACAAGTTTTCAGCGACACGGTAACGTTCGTAATGTTTACATTCCCACAATGCAATTGTGGAATGTCGCTTGACTACTCAACTTCCTCTGGATGTACTGATCAAACTTACGCTGGTAGTAGAAATGCAACGTTCATATTGCCCCATATGGTTTACGTTAATGACAGATGTAATTAAAATAATTCAGAGAAGATATTTAATCCGAACGTAAACCGTCATCAAACTGTTATCATTTGTTTTTTTCTGGTAACGTTCGTCTTAACGTAGGGGGCAGACACATCAATAGAACAGCGCGCCAGTTAGCCCTGTGCGAGGATTCTTAATTTAGGTCACCGACACCGTCGTTTGTTTTCTGCCTTAAATTAATCGTAATTATCTTTAGAAAGCATTAAATTTGGCATCTTAGAAAAGAAATACAGTTCGCCCTACCACCATGTATAGTGTAATAAAACACACTTTCCCCTGAACTAGTATAACGTTAAAGCACTCGGACGCAAGCGTCCTCGTGCTTTAACTATAATAGTTCAGGGCAAAAGTGTGTTTTATTACACTATACATGGTGGTAGAGCGAAGTGTATTTCTTAATTAAAACAATATTTTTGGTACAAAGTGTGTATAGCGGTCACTGTTATTGTGCAATCGTGTGGTATAAGCCAGCGGGATCCTTAGACCACCATACTGGCTCCTAAATGGCAACAATTTGGACAAGTGGACAGTAAGTCATAAAGATGCGGTCATTTTAGAGTTGGAATCATACGAAGGATTCCGTTTTTCATCCACAAATATTTCTCAAGATAATGGAAAGGGTTTTGTCGCTTTTTACAGTACATCTACTTCCTACACAATATCCCATTAGGTTAACGTCTTCGCTTCAACTTTATAGTTAAGGACAATAACAGGAAATATTACAGTCATATAATTTGTTTAAACGCTAGTGTATGTTGTGTGTTGTAATTACATTTGCCTCCTTTAACAGCTTTTTGTTCTTGTCACTAGGTTTCTTGTACCATACAAGGTAAAAATGAGCACATGTGGTCGTCACCAGCATCCAAAAGGATGTAACTTTCTGATGAGGTATCACAGAGGTAGAGGAGATACCATGTCCCTAGTATGGTTGACTACCTTTGGTTACTGGCGATCCACCCGTGAAGATCCGGGGTAGAATAGGTCTTCAGCAACCCATGTGCTTGCCAAAAAGGCGACTATGCTTGTCGTAAGAGCCGACTAACGGGGATCGGGTAGTCAGTTTCGCTGACTTGGTTGACACATGTCATCGTTTCCCAATTGCGCAGATCGATGCTCATGCTGTTGATCACTGGATTGTCTGGTCCAGACTCGATTATTTACAGACCGCCGCCATATAGCTGAGATATTGCTGAGTGCGGCGTAAAACAAAACTCACTCACTCACTCACTCACTGACGATCCATAGCTCATTGTTACATTGTCCTGTCTCATTATAGCTGTAATATTTTAATGTTCTTATTGTTTTAAATAAAATGTGTGGTAATCTAGTTTTTGTACTCTCCTTCGAGACAGGTACAATCGTATGTATAGTATTAAAGAGCCTCTAGTATCGATATGGACAAAATATTGCCGATGTGAAATTACATTTTTACTTACCTACTCGTTCATCGTCGATGATAATCGTGTTATTGTGTTTCTCCAAGATGCGTCAATCTGTTCAATTTTCCTAACCAGACTAAAGTTAATGAAAGGTGTATACGTAAGGTTAAGATGCATTAGTTACGAACTTATCATTTAGATTAGCACAGTAGGTTGTGCTCATGATTATGAGTAAATGTTTATTTTAAGAGACAATTTTAGCCATGGCCGATGAAGAAATTCACATTATCCCTCAATAAGGGTTACAATATGTGGTGATACTCCATATAAAAGTTTGTCTGGACTATTGCTAATAGCTGCGTAAATCATACAATAATAATAATAACAATAATAGGCCATTTATATAGCGCCTTTCAATCATGATTACAAACAAATTTATGGCTTTGTTACGAGGTAGTCGGAATCGTCTAACATTGCTTCAGCTTCAGCAGAGGTTTCCGATGATTGTTTGTCGCTGTTTGTAATTAGAGCAATTAAAACACTATACACTGTGTAATGGTTTTCTTCCTGACTTACTGAATTTGATGACTGTGTTCCTATATTATTTATATTCAGTTATTTGATATTGTGTCACGCATATTTTTGACGCTTTGATCTAAAGAGTATACCTGTGAAGATCCGGGTTAGAGCAACGTGTTTATTGTTTAAACAAAGTTTGTTAGTTGTTGAACGCTACACTGGAGCAATGCACATGCTGTATGACTGCGGTCTGTAAATAATTGAGTCTAAATTAGACAATCCAGTGAGTGACATCATGAGCATCGAACTAAGTAAACATGATACCAAGCATTAAAATAGAGATCTGGGGCCGTATTTATTAAAATTCTTACGAATTCTTAAAGGTCACATGCAACCAAAAAATCAAACATAATTAAACCACAATTATCCCTTATTCATGACATATAATATACATTGCTGACTATGAAAAAACATATAAACAAAATTATAAGCGTACAATCGCAAATCAAAAGTGCAATATTTTGTACTTGGGTTTACTTCCCAAGAAACGAAGCAGCCGGGATACCGAACCCAGTCAGAGCGGGTGGGTGTGCACTCAAGAGTAACGGCTGGCTTATTTGCAGATGCCTCACGGCTCATTGTGTGTGTGTATATATAGAGATGTTGGGTTTTGTAAATACATACTCATTTTTTGTGTATTACATTTTGCAATCAACAGACATCATAACATGTCATGTGTACAAGTATCACACCTGCCTGTCTGTGTAATTACATAATGTGACAGAGACCGAACTCGGGCCATAAATCAATGCGTTTTGTTTATGGTGTATAGCCTGATAGGTGTTAGGTTCAAATTGCACGTGGTCAGTGATCGAAGTTGTGTATTGAATATTGTCATTAGCAGACAGGCAGGCAGACACATAGGTGTCAATAAAACAGACACTGAGTTTTGTCTGTGACAACGACATATCTATGTCACAGTTAGAAATTCTGTCGACGCTAAATAATGACATTGCTTTTAAGTATCGAACTGAAAAAGTGACTCTTTAAGAAGAACATGTGGTGAAATAGACAAATAAAATTATATAAACAGTTAAATCAGTAATCTACTGTCAAAACATATAAAATGTTCGCGCCTGTGAAATATCAACAAAACATTTTCAAAAATAGCTCACACCAAAGCCTTCACCGAGTATTCACCGGACAACCCGCTGCGCGAACCTATTTCACTGCGTACGTGCTATGAGCGCAGCCCAGCTGTTGAAACCACATTTCCCCCAAGCGCTGGGGGAAAGTTAGTGAATCGTTTGTACTCCGATTTCGCGCG